TCATGTCATAGTGATGGAAACCATACCAACGAGAAAGATGATTAATTTGGCAAGGTTTCAACTCAGTGGGTATCTACAGATTTATGGTGCCCAGCATTTGCAGTTCAAATCACATGCCCCAAAACACGGTCACTAAGACAATCGCAACCACATGGCCACAGTACTGAACTCCAGTTTCACTTCACTTGCCCTCCATCATAACATACACAGCTTTATAGACGTCGCAATTTATTATGATGAAAGATGGTTAGGAGAATCCTAAAGGAATACAGTTTTATTTGTTTCATTTAACCAACCTTCTCCATATATAGTGTATAGTGGATTTAATAGGTGGATTATTATACTATTTCATCTATACAGTAGTTTTTGACATTCAGAGAGTTAATTAATTAAACAATTGCGTTTTTTTTCAAGTCACAATGAATCTTTCAATAAGAGGATTTTCTCTGAAATATTGAGAATATGGAGTTAACTCAATTTCTGCTTGCTTTCCCAATACTTTTTGATATTTCTCTTGCACGATTCATTGCTACAAAAATGTTAGTGGACTGGTAATAGAATTGGAAGTGTAATTAAAAAAAAAAATATTTCCTTATTTCTCTCAAAAGGTTGTTTTAATCAATTCCAGCTGTTTTATTGTACTCTTGTCTTTGTTTGTTTATAATTTGCCAAAACGATGGAAGGACAGCAGAGAGCCTAAAACACTGACTTATTTTGTGACCACACCCACTACACCACCATCTGCTGGGAGAAATGTGTCAAGTTAAAACTGTCACTGCATGGGACTATTGAGAACAACCAGGCCTTAGAAGAGTAATCAGGAAAGGGGGACAATTGATTCATCTGATATTCAGGAAGTGAAATCCAGAGTCTGGAGTTCATTTCACAAAGATTCATCCATTCTACTAAACTGATAAGACATAGGACTTCACAGTAGGGGCTCTGCCTGTAATACTAGCAATCCAAATTATACCCATCTATGTGTAATTACTTACAACACACACTTAAGTTTGTTCACCAAGGAGCACATTATGTCAATCTTTAATTTAATTTTGTTAATTTCTTCTGAAGTGACAAACAAGCCCTAGTAAAATCCAAAAGCCCTTAATGGGATACAGAAGTTCCCCATTAGAAACCCTGGAATGGCAGAAAAAAATAGTTTAAATTTTTTCCTTGACTTAGTTTTGAAATTGTTTACCTTTCAGTTTCATCCCTCAAATTTCTATGATTGATTTTTGTTATCTGTTCTAATACTTTTCTCACAAAACTACCATCTCGTATTGTGGTACTGAGTGATTAATGTTGATGATTTATCAAACTCTCGGAAACTGCTTGACCAAGTGAAATATTCACGGCTACAAAATTTTGCAATATTAATCATTTCCCAAAATTAACAAATTCACCTCTTGCGAAATCAAAAGGTTTTTAAGGACTTCAACAGTAAAACACCGAAGTGCTAGATACAAGGAGAGGATTACCCTAACTCACTAAGAATTAACTTGAAATATAACCATCCCCAAAATTTTGAATTGCATGGCTTTAAGTAATAATCTAGTAATTATTTAATTAAGAGGGTACAAACAGTTTTGTCAAAATAAACAGCATAACAGTAATCAGGTTTACAGATTGCAAACATTCTGCCCCAAACTGTTCTAATTTAATTAGTTGCCTGGTAACCATATACCCTATCATCTCAGTGAGACTGGGTGTGGCTCAGTATCCTGTTTACTACTACATAGTGATTATGTTAACCTCATTTTCTGATTTCAAAAACTTAAATTAATATTACGAGTATAATGAATATATTTTTTTTTATTTTTTATTTAGTTGAAAATGAGCTTCCACAAGCCCTGCCTAAATATGATATTGTCACAAACACATAATTGTTTTTAACAAAAAAATGTATATATATACACAGAAAAAATAAAATAAACTGAATGTTTGATTTTATGTGATTATTAAATGCACAGAAACAAACACCCACTGATGTATTTTCTAAAAATTGCTGCATATAGAAGCAATAAAATATAATTGTCAACTGTATTATGATATTATACAAGATCATTAATTTTCCCCCTTCAAATATGTAAAAATAGGCAAAATATTGCACCAACATTTTTTTTCTTCAAATTTTAAATGTAATTAAATTTGAATTAAATTCATATTTTGCATAACATTTTGTGTAATAATAGAGGCATATAAAAATTGATGCAATGGATTATTCTAGAGTGGAATGCTCAGAATAAAGTTGTACAAATAAATTATTACCGAGTCCAAAATAACCAACTGGTGGCGGCATTATTAAGTGATACCAGAATAATCAGATTTTAGAGATTTCTGAAGTAACAGCCTGGTATTCCATTGCCATGACGACAGACAAACAACTGCTGGACCAAATGTAAAGGTCAATAACCTACAAGAGCTGCATTCCTCATAGGAATAAAAACATTACACTTCCACTAAAACTAAGATATAATCATAATTTCCAACAACTTTTATATAGCTTTCGGAGAGATAACCTGAACCCATAGAGACTATATGCAACTGCCCTCATGCCCATAGAGAATATGGATAAGGGATGCCATATCGTGTTACAATAAATACATAGATTTAAAAAGCTTTTACATGTAGCATTTCAAGTTGGTATGTACATTTCTTGGTATATAAAATCCACATAAGCATAACATGTAGGTCATATGTAATCTAACAAGATATGTTTGGGCATGTCATAGGAAACCTAAATGTTTTCATTTTAAAACTGAACCCATACTACCCGAGTCACCATTTTTACACCTCTCTCACAATACCTCCATTTCCAGGCTTAACCCACAATACCCTATCCACTATTTCTACACTGCTCTCACAATACCTCCATTTCCAGGCTTAACCCACAATACCCTATCCACTATTTCTACACTGCTCTCACAATACCTCCATTTCCAGACTTAACCCACAATACCCTTACCACTATTTCTACACTGCTCTCACAATACCTCCATTTCCAGGCTTAACCCACAATACCCTATTCACTATTTCTACACTGCTCTCACAATACCTCCATTTCCAGGCTTAACCCACAATACCCTATCCACTATTTCTACACTGCTCTCACAATACCTCCATTTCCAGGCTTAACCCACAATACCCTATTCACTATTCACTATTCACTATTTCTACACTGCTCTCACAATACCTCAATTTCCAGGCTTAACCCACAATACCCTATCCACTATTTCTTCACTGCTCTCACAATACCTCCATTTCCAGGCTTAACCCACAATACCGTATCCACTATTTTCACACTGCTCTCACTATATGTTAAGTTTGATGAAATGCATTGTGGGAACCTATTCCAAGACATCCATGGTCAGTCCAGGTTATTCACTAACAAGAAGCTTGTGAAATGCCCTATCACTTTGGCCTTTTCTGCATTCGCCATCACCCTGGCATTATCTAAGTTATGAGTGTTACTCACCGACGCTAAAGCCTGTCCGAGTGCATCTCCTGTTTGTGAGCCACCCCCAGCACCACCACCACTGGATGCTGGTCCAGTACTACTTCTTCCTCCTGCTGGGAACAAAGTAAATATTGCTTTACAATCAAATCAACATAAGCATAACTTATAGGATAGTAAAAAAAAATTACAATTTTCAATTTTGAAGATTCAAGTAGTATGATGACAGTCCTGCAATTATTGGAACTAGGAAGTCCTACAACACTTGGTTGACCACATACTTTTTAACACATTGCCGACAACTCCAGTGAAATTTGCTTCATTATAAGCATACCACTAATAGATTCAAATATATAATAAACATTGCATGTGTTACTTATGGCAAATGTAGTACATGCTTAGTAGCAGGCAAAATGGGAATTTAAAGTAAAAAAAATTTATTAAATAAATCATGAAATCTAAATCTGCAAGAATTAGGAGCATTACAGATACGGAAATGTGCATTTTACGCATTAATTACAAGTTAATAAATATGTTATAATATAAAGATTCAGATGAAATGTCATTCTGATAATTATAGCAACAAAGCTTTGTTGTGGTGCAGGAAGGTGTATTTTACAGCATTACTTCACCACTAGAGGGCGCCACATACTAGAAAGCGTTATTAGATTAGATCATGACTTACGCATAATACTTTCAGAACCATTTAAAGGTGAAGTATTCGACGTGTAAGGTGTGCTGCCGCTTGTTGGATTGCCATGAAATGAAGATATTGGTGGAAGACTCGGGCGCATACTAATAGTCTCATGACTACCAGGTGACATCGTGTGACCATAACCCTGAAAGTAAAACACAATAATATTAAAAAACTCAATAGTGGCATTAACTGGTTCATACTGGCTTGAACCAGCTTAAACTGGAATTAATCACTTCACTGTGGACTTTTCACATTGAAACACAAATGATATTGTTAATATGTATATGCATCTACTTAATGCAAGTTCAAAATAAGAAATTTAAACAACGATTTAACAAATTTTCTAAAATTCTGGTCTACCACCAGTTTTGAAATGCCATCACATGCAGAAATATCTTTATTCAAGATAAGTTTATAAAAGTCTGTTTCGATGGCAAGTTAGTTAACAATGGCGCCCTCTAGTGTTAGAAATGATGAATGAATAACCCGTGAGATTGTTCATTTATGACCCGAGGGAGCAAGGAAAGGATAGTCTGGAAAACATCAACATATTGTAGATAATTATCACAACACTGTTTAAAAGGATTCCCAACTTCATTAAAACATAGAGCCCTTCCCCCCAAGGTACTTGCATCTCGATGCACATACCATTTTATGAAGTTCACTCTTTTTATAATTGAGTTTCATGCTCGTTAATTTCCAAGTTAATGATCCAATTTGATCATGTTTTCAACAAGCTAAAAACCCAAACCTGATACTATATTTCTTATTTTTGTAGTTTTCCTTCTAATTAAATTCTTTTGCAAGTACCTAATTCTAAAGTTATAAAACAAATTGCAAATGGAAGGTTTTTGAAAGAAATGATAAAAAAAAGCAGTGCACATGTATGATATATCCAATTAGCCATACAATTTAAACTCGTAGTTTAACTAGTAAATAGCTTAATCTTGGTTGCTAGGAATTGAGCGATTTAATGACGTTCTTTTTTTTTATGTCTGTCCAAAATGAATTTAATAGGTATACAGTATTTCCATCGATGCGATAGTTCAAATTTAAATCTGATTCAAAATGTAAGTATTCAGTTATCACAGGTTCAGAAAAAATTTGATATTCCATTAAAGGGGGAAGGGGGTTAAAAAAAAATAGAAAAAAAAATAATAAAATTCAATTTTTTTATGAATCTTACCATGTGCTCGTGAGGCCGTTGGTGCACATTTGTATAACTAGATGAAGTATTATTTAAGATTGCTGAAGAAAAACCAGTGGACGGAGGCATGCCGTTATTACTCCATGGATCGGGACTGCCATGTGAACCATCTGGAGAAGAAAAATAACAAACAGACATACTTCAATAAACAAATAAATATGGCCGCCACAATGCACTTTATACAAGATCAATTATCTTTGACCACAAAGTAAAATATGAGAAAGGGATCCGCTACAATGATTGTAGCATTTGTTTGATATTCATGGAATATTATATGGCGGACTTGACAGTGAATGACTGGGTAAAGTGGCGACCACCTTGCACATTTCTCCCCGGAGACCATCTACACCATTGTATTCCCTGACACTTAATAACAAGGACACAGAAACACAAAAAAAAACAGATGGATTTGATGAAATAAAAACTGAATAATAGAAAATTAGCAAACTAAAATTGCCATGAAACAAAAACATTATAATGACTTGATGTCGCGAGAACCAGCCACACAAATTCATCTGAATAATTCATTGTTAAATTGTTGAAAATATTTCCTCTTACCCATGAATTCTGGATACATGTTTGTAGGTGGCTTGGGTGAGGTGTATCGAGGTGAATCTTGACTGTACGGATCATAGGACCCTGATGGCGAATCAACCTAAAATACACACAACAAAACAAACAAATTAAAATACAAAAAAATTAAATTGAAATTAACATAAACTCATACATCAATCGTCCATGTCAATTGTGCTCTGCAATTCAGCACAAAATAAATATCATTTGAAGACAAAAACAAATTTTATTTCGTTGATAATTAGGTTTACATAGAGGACACAATGTGCTGGTAGGAATAGGAAACACACCAGTTTTACTTTTGTACAAACCCCACCAGTAGATAAGAAATGGTTTGTATTAATTGTACTGGTACTACCTTAGTAGTTGCCACAGCGAGGGACGAGAAGACTGAATCTGTGTTTACTATTCACAACACTGCACTGGTAACACAGCATACATCAATAATTATTATTTTAATCTATCAGACTAATTAATGCAAGAACTAATTAAACCAAAGGTGTAAAGCTCACAAGTAAAATTGGGCTCTTGCTCATTCCAATAATAAAGTTTAGCAAAACTTGCAGGGCAGTGAATGTTATGTAAATAAAGAATGTATTCGTCCCGCTTGTCTGCATTAGTATGAATACGGAACCCATGCTAAACATGCACACCATGGAGATCATTGTCCTTTTTACCAATAAGAATGTTTATGACAGTCGTGCATATTTATCACGGTGACAGTCGCATCATTACATGTGACAGCAGACACGCTACTACAATTGCACTGAACTGAGTTGAAAAACCAAACTTTCCTGGGATCACAACTGTTTTTCGTCAACTCAACTTTCCACCTGCATTTCATTGACGGTAACAATGCAATACAACAGACAATTTCTCACAGATATAGTGAGCAATCGGTGGAAATCATTGGAGAATGACAGCTAGGTATTGATTAGCTTCATCAACCATGTCCCACAACGCTAGTAATACAAGACATTGGTCAGATTTGATAATATTCCACCTTTTATTCCATATACCTCCCCTGACGTAAGACATTGTTAATGTCATCCCAGTACACTGACATGGTAGTTCTTATTAGCGAGGCAGTCTATTACGGCGACATCGCCACTTAGTCTGTGTGGTAATACACTACTACCTTACCATTTGTCCACAACCCTTTTGACATGAAATTGCAAGGATGTTTAAGAATAAGGCAATTACCGCGACGCAGCAAATGAACACAGCCATTTAGTAAGAACACTCCCAAGTACCAAAAGCAGTAAAGTGCAACTATTATATGCGGATTGTCGACCTTCCAACCTTCACTAGACGTCCTTTACTTAACAAGGAAATAGACAAGCCTCATCAATTCCAAGCCGCTCTTCAATCACGGAAAGCGAATACTGAAGAATTAATTTTATTTCCCGGCTATTCAATTTTTTTTTCACTTGAATGCATGCGCCATTTCATTTGCATGACAATAGAGAAATGAAAAACACAACCACGACTCATCAGACTTCCACTCAGTGATTCACATTCACGCAAACATCTCCCAGTATTTTTTTTATGAAAGCCCAGCACATGCAGTAGATCATATTACCATGGCAATGCATGTCTACATGATCCTGGCTTAAGCATACTGAATTGAAAAATTTTTTTTTTAGATTTTTTATTGATCGACAACGGAAATTAAAACCAGCTCTCATTACATTAGCATTCTACCTACACAAGATTTTCATGAAATCAAACATTTTTATGACAATTTTGGAAGTAATATTTTATTGCCAACATTCAGGCTGATATAGCATACATTGACCGAGATTCAAACTACGGTACTCAAACTGAATTTATGCCATGTATACAGAATCCCAGAAAACCACTCAAAAGTTTGTCAAGTTTCAAGGTCTTGGGAGATTGAACAATATGATGACCTTCATGTTAAACAAACTGTTAATTCGGTCATGTAATAGTACTAATGAGATAATAGAAGGTGCAAAGTGATAAATATGGCATCAAAATTGACTGCCTAACACGATGACTTAGCCGGTCCAGAGAGTACCACGGCTGTACTTTTATTAAAGAGTCTTGATGGAAAAAATGCTTTCATAATTTATAGTGTGTATCTTTGTGACAAATGGAATTCCTTGCTGTAGATCCCTTTCTGATACGAGTTCCTGGAGCAGTTAACACAATCTTTTGGGAGCGTACTGATTCGTTAAATTTACTGACTCAACAAAGTCATAACATTATCAACAAAACCATCCTTTCGGCAATAACAGTTTAACCAACAAGCTAGTCTCAAATTTACTACAGACTGCGTGACGCATTATCAGTCTACGCACGAATTCATTTTTATGGACTTCCAAGAAAACTACTATTAATAAATAATAAGCATAAATTGTTAGTGTCGAGAGGAAAACTACTAAAACATAATCTTTGTGAGAAGATAAAATAGACTGCAGGGATACTGCAGATCCACAGACAAAGGAAATGAACAACAATAGAAAAGGCAACCCCCACTAAACAGGTCTGCATCTTACCTACACACGTGTATGGCACACAATAATTAGCATGAGAATAACAAGTGTAATTGTGAGACTTTGAAAGGAAACAAGACGCATAGTTGAAATGAATCTATAGGGATTAGATGTACACCCTGAACGGTAAGTATAAGTAATGTAATTAGGCGTTATAATAAAATGGCCGTCCTAGTGATGTTCACTGAAATATTGTAATTGGGGAAATTTCACCGCTGAAACTGTTTACATTAATATTTTATTACTTTGAGAGAGTTTGCAAAAAGAAAATTTGTTGAAGCATACAGCTCCATGGTTGAAGTATCTGACTGATGGCAGTGAAATTTGGTACAGCATTTTCTGATATATACTTTTGGGGAAAGCGCTTCACGATTTGTCATAAAATTAAAGTTGCATAATACATTTGTGCAAGAACACATTATTGTGAAATAGTCATTCGAAGGATATAGTTATTATGCATGCAAAATATTCAGTCAAATTTTACGTGTCAAAGCTGTATACCACTTGCCTGCTGACGGCAATACCAGGGAAATTGGGATATGGCACCAACAATGGCAGCGATATCAAAACTATCCAGTAAGATTGGGTGTAAAGTACATAGTAGTGGACAAAACACAGATGTGGTCAATTTAATTGCCACGAAGCTGTGTACCGGAGTATACCATTTATGTGACCAGATCTCAAAACACTATTACAGCAGGTTATTAACTAGATAAATTGTTGTAATAACAATGAATGCAAGGCAATGGAAATTCTCTAATATTTGCCAACACAGTTACTTTAGTTTTGCATTAAGTAGAATCAGTAGTGGAAACATGGTTTATGAAATATGTTGTGATTTGTTGTTATAAGCGCTTAAAAAGGACAATGGTAACTCCACTAAGTGATCACTTTGCTTTCTGTGCACATCTACATTAAAATATTCCAGTCACAATTAACAATAAATGGTTTTATGTTTTGATCTTACACTGAATACATGAACATCAGATCTGTGGCCGACTAGAAATCTAGAACTTAGAAGAAAAATATTCTTGTGGGTTAAGTAGAATTCAGATTTACTCTGTTTTAAATTCACTTGTTTTACTTTGAAACTATACATTTGATGGTTAGCTTTGCATTTTCACTGGGTTTAAATTAGACACATTTATCTGCCAGTGAAAAAAATAAACAAAAATAAAAACCAAGCTAAATATTAAGCACTTTATAGTAGCAGTAGATGATGTACGAAATGAAGTCATACAATTGTAACACTACCATGCTAAGATTGATTATACTCCACTCCACCATCATAATGTTACAAACACACACAAAACTATGTAAAAACCAATTCCTCTAAAACAGCTGAGATTTTAAAGCAGCTTCTCAAATCTGCAACTAGTGTTTTTAAGATTAAAACAAAGGAAATGAAAATTGACTCAATTCTATCATGGAGTTAGCAAGCGCTGATCCTTCTGTTTGAGCTGAGAGAAAATCCACTGAAAAGACCCCATACTACTACTAACCTCCACAGAAAGGCAATTCATCCACATATTCCAACTTCGTTCAGTAGCATTCATGATGGAATCCGTTAGAGCTAGAGCTCTGAGTATACACACAGTACACTCGAGGTAAGCTGGTGCACTTTCCACTCACAGGAAGTTGAACCCAACTGTGAATGCTATAGCCCCCATTGTAATTGGATTTGTCAATCCTATTGTTGTCTTAGGTGTCAATGATAACTCTATTCATGCTAACTTGCATTAAGACAATAGGATCATTCCATTAACATTTGGGGGTGGCACATGTAGTTCACATCATCAAATAACAAAATCAGATTGAATGTAATTTTAAATTTACAATCAATAATTATAATAACTCACATTTTATTACAAATACAGAAACTTCATCAATTGTTAATTCCTTCAATTACTTTCTTAGTGCCCCTCCCCCTGCCACATAATTGACAATGGTATGTCCCATGGGCCTAAGGAATGGCAACCTGTTGCCAAAGTTGTTGTGAATGGGTTTAGCATCAAGATATCTTAAGTCTGAAAACACTGCTCATAGTAATAAATTTGTTACAACTCTTTCCCTGCGATTGTAATTGTATAGTCAACCAAGAGGAAGAAAACAGTGAAATACAGCATTTAGGATGGAGTCTGTACCTTAGGTAAGATCATTGTATTTTTGTTATGGTCATATAGGAGGTATGCACAAGTAGTGATGGGTTGTACCCAATATTACCCCAACAGTAATTATTGTGAGAAGACATGTTTTAAAAACATACCTGAATGCAAATACACATCAGAATTAACCTTTTTACCACCAGTTCCCTCTTTTCATCATGAATTCACAAAAAATTATTTATAGTCTGTAGTTTATAGTCTGCACTTTCTTTCAAAAGATTGAAACAAAAATAGCTACATTTTTTGAGTAAAAACCGAAAATTGGCTCAAATTTTGTCTGTTGGCTCAAAAATTAGGGTTCATTTCCATAAATATTGAGAAATATAAGAAAAAGTGCAGAAATATTTGTCTAGTGGTGAAAGGTTAAGAAAAGTTTTGTTTTTTCTTATTATGTGTAT